CTTTCAGAAGGGGAATGAGTTTTCTCAATGGCGCAAAATAAATTGTTTAAACAAAGAAAAAAATGGATTAAGAAGCATAAAATTACATAAGCCCTAAGCTGCATGAAACGGCCTTTGTCCAACTACATATGAAAGGGAATATAAATAAATTGTAGACGGTAACGAATATTTATTCACATACCTTTTGTGGAAATATTTCATGAATGTTCTTTAAACTTAAGAAGGGATGGATTGTGAAACGTCATATATCTTAACAAAGCTTGTCAATTCATGTAGGCATACACATTGGAAATTAATTTCTGATTCTTCTTTTGCATGAGGAATGGTGCAGAATAAAAATGAATAATTGATATTTGCGTTTATTTCTGAAACAAAATTGCAGATGTTCCTAATCCCCTGTAAATCTAAATTCATACGAAACTAGGTAGAAAAGCTTTTTTTCAGAGTACACGATCATGACGATTCGTGCAATACGTGGTTTCTCATGTTACTTGCTAGTTGTGGGTCGTGTGTGCGTGTGTGTGGGTGGGTGTGTATGTGTGTGAAGATGGGCGTGCGTTCTAGTCCAACTGTGGGTGTGTTTTAGTGCGTGCATGGATAACATGAACACCCTTACCAGGAAGAGCATAACATGTTTCCGAAAGTAATTTTCATCCTCGATTAGGGAAAACATTTCTCTAAACGAAGGAGATATGCGGTTATGCCGAGATGTCCCACTTGTAACTGCCAAATTGCTCAAAGAATTGCACCATTATAAATTCATTTACCTCTAAGCTATCTATATGAAATGCATCAGCATGAAAATCCTTCTCTACACATTAGAATGGACTAAAATGTGACAAAACTGCTCAAATTCTACTGAAAACCTGTAAGTGGGTGCTTGACCACTTCCAGTAAAGTAACTTTGAATGACTTTAGTTACATTCTGACTAAGCTTACACTAGATCTCTCGATACCTGATGTCCACTTGTGCATTTGTTTGCGATGTAACTGAGCTCTCGGAGGAAACCAGCCTGCTTCACTGGGGGGTCAAAGACGAGTTGTATGGAACGCGGTTTGCATTATTCATTCAGGAAACGCGGAAATGAAGGTTTGGGAAACTGTGGTGTTACAGCCGAGAAGATATAACGATGTGACAGAACTCTGGTAAAGAACGAGGGGAAAAAGAAATCAATCAAAGGATTCCTTCCAAACCGCAAAGAGAAATCACCAATAATGTCATTAGAAAACATACAGACTACAAAGAAAATAATCGTATATATCGTAGCGTGTCAATAATCATTTGTGTAAACTTGTTACATTTTTCTTGTCTTTTTATAGCTGTTTGTGGGATGGTGTGAGGGGATGGGGGCAATGTTGAGTGCTTTAGGGAAGAGCGTAATTCTGTTAGGAAACCAGAGGATGCCGTGCTGCTTGAATTTTGACAAGTTTTGTTGATTCAGGGAAGATACAATTTTTTCCTTATTGTTTCCAAGTTGCATGAAACTAATAACTCGACATTTAAAGTCATCACTAGCCAAATGCAAATGACCTTTCTAAAGTTATATTACCTCACGTACAAAAGAAAGAGATACCATCAGTTCTTGCAATCCTTACCATTTTCATGAGAGTCTGATGTCTGAAAACGTCACAGTTCGTTATTGTTCTCTATGGCCTACAGCTGGTGTCCATTCTAAAAGAGAAGTGAACCACTTCCGGGTTGGCTGAGTCAGGTTTAACTCTGCGTACGTTTCTACAAGTAATCGAAAACACTGCGACTTTCATGATTGCGATATAGCATGGTCATTTGGTTACCTTTGAGCCGAGTTAGTTTTCCCGCGTCCCACAAAAAGTGTACTTTTGAAGGTTTTAGTCATTGAAGTTGCTTCCTGCATTTATGATTTGTGTTTTTTTTCTCAGTCCCATGTACTTATAATGAGGTTCTCACATCGCATTCAGTTGTTCGTTGAACTCGTCACACGTCTGGTCGACTTTTGTTTCGTGCAGTAGACGCCATTTATCATTACAAACACGTGGTTTGAATGTTAATAATAGGTCACAGTGATTTCTCTATTACGTATTAATTGTTTCATTTCCAACTGCCATACAAATTTTCCTCGCGATTTCAGATTACCCATTGTAAATGAATCATACATGTTCAGTTCAGTTTTAAGGTTTATGTAAGTATTGTTGCAAAATTGTTTTCCTTCCGTTGACTTTCACTATTCACACGTGCAGTTATATTAGAAAAAACTACTATAATCATTCTGATAAGCCTAGGTCTATATTTATATTCAGAAGTTATATGACCTTTTTAATATTTACATTAAATTTTCTTTGACTGTATATTCTTTACAGTACATATTGCGCTCATGTAATGACTGTATAGAAAATAAGTACTCTTTCAATGCATCTTAACTACATTATCTTCCTTTCTACTATGATGAAGAAGATTATTCTTTCGTTAGATTACTGCCAGGAAAAATAAAATATAGTGGGAAACAACACGAGAGCTTCAGTCATTATACACAAGTTTTAAAACCAATTGCAAACAAGACTCAATTCGTTCGGTGACTGGAAATATTACAGAGATGTATTGGAACATGAGTTCAACTCACGAAAAACACTTCAAAGAAATGACAATTGGAAGAGCTAATATGGGTCTGTATTTATCAACTTTCGAAATTGTTTTTGTTCACCTGGTCATCCCTTTTGCAGAATGCTTTGTTTCAAAACTGTAGGAACAACATTCTTTTGAGACGTAGTAAAGGATGAGAGGCATTAAAAATCAAACTCTTAGAATATTTCAAGGTCACAGAAACTAGGGATCATTTTTAGAGCACCACTGTAATTGGTTAAGTGTCGAGCCAGGAAGTGAATTTATTGATTTATCTGTTTGGTTTTAAAAAACAATGGCATTATATACAGTCAATAAAGTCTTCTCAATGTTTTCCATATCATCCGTCATGGACCCTATTACTATTTTTTTAAACATTACCTGGTAGTGTTAGTCTTTGCATCGATATCATTTTAATTATTTATTTAAAAGAAAGAATGACAATACTTGATTCCATTACAGTTGCTTGAAATATGGTCCGATCAGTTTAAAGTAAATGGGCATTACCAATTGTATAAGATTTTAAAATAGGGAGAAAACAATACAACGGAAATAACAATGAAATGATTTCTCAGAATTCAATATATATATATATATATATATATATATATATATATATATATATATATATATATTATAAAACATCCCGGTACATCTTCTATTAGGCATATAAATTATTTTATTTGAAATGTGGTGAATGCGTTTACATAAACTGTGTTCGATAGAGCAAGTGAAATTAGTTGGGGTTTCAACAGTCGGCAAACTTGGAAATTCCAGAACATTTGAGTGTGAGCACCACGGTAGTACTGAAGGCTACGGTAAGTTCTGAAGTCTCAAACGACAGGTCCAGGGTTCGAAATGTGCTCTGTGCTTACATCCTTAGATCATGGACCTACTATGCTTAGACAAGGTGTTTTGTCCATAGTTTCCCTCATGACGATTTAAATAGATTCATAATGGTTGGGCGATAATAATTGCGGGGCCTGCAGGAAGAACAGTGTTTATATCGATGTGTCTCCCCTGGGTAAACAAGACCAAATTATGGTAAGGTAATAATCCTGGTCTGCCAGCTATACAAACCATTGCTTTATTTACTGTTTATTTACTGTTATTTACTATCCAACTTCTCATGAAATTTGCTGCGACACCCCTTCCACATCCAAAATACTCTAGTGATACAGTAACTTGATAAATATAATTACTTTTGACTTTGAGCCACATTGTTTGAATATCTCTTTAGTTCAAGGTGATTAGCAGGTACCACGTGTCCCCCCAAAGCGGCTCTGTCCATGAAGCATGTACTATAAAGCGAATTGTTTTTAATATCGGAAAAGCACTTAAATGATTACCACATTTTGTAGGCGATACCGGGTGCTATATATGGCGTTTTTTCGCTCTCTATGCGCTAATGGTCAACACTTAGTTCCGGAGGGGACTGGTAAAATAACTTCAGTAGGCCTACCGAGGCTAACATCAACAGGTACTTCTATTTAATCATGCTCGTGACATCTATAGTAGACTAGTAGGTGCCCAAATAAAAGTTCGATAGGTGACGTAGTAGATCAAATGCGTTGGGGCATGATGTAAGGTCATGAGGACTGGGTTGAACGTGGAGTTGCAAGGTGAAGTCCATTTAGCATCTTACCAGAGACAAATCGATCATCACAATTAGAATGGATGCCGCTCATATCATGGGCTGATGTGAATATGGATTAAAGACATCGCGCTGTAACATGACGTATCTCCATGAAAGTGAGCGTGTATTGCAAGCAGGTGCAGCAAGACTTGGAAGTTTTGAAACTATTATATTTAACCCGTTGACTACTGAATTATCTAATTCCCATAGACTTTAACACAGAGACCACCAGGTTCCAGTAAGCAATGAGTTAATAAATACATTATTTATGGAATGATGAGAAACAAGAGAGTGGGTTAAATACAATTTTTTTAAAGACCTGAATTAGTATCATTCAATGAAAACTAGCGTGTCTTGCAACCAAGCAGGTGCAATTAGACTTTTTCGAATGAATTTCAACTTGTGTTATATAAATAATATATTTGCTCACCGGCTCTGTTATGTTGTAATTGTATTCTAAGCCGTCATTGAGCGTTTCCTTTGCCTTGACGGAGATAAAACAATATTTGACTTCCTCTTCTGGCAAATGAACAATAGAGAATGTATGCAATGAAAGGACTAGATACAACAAAGCTGTTGAGATGAGCATAATAGAAAAGGGAGAATGATGGTGAATGTCAGAGAATGGAAATCCAATTTTTATGAATAAAAATGCGAGATTAGTTCGTAATTATTCAGTTTATGGTGAGAGAGTGGGAATGGTCCATAGACCGTAATCCGTCCAAGGTCTTACGGCGTGCTGTTGGACTGCCTGCATTAATCGAAATGCCTAGGTCATATGATTGCAGTGATGCGCCGATTAAATTGATAAGAGCTCGGTGGTGTGATGAGGGAGGCGTTTATTGTTCGATTGGAATGCATAGATGGCAGCATCAAAGCGGAGCGATCATTAATAATTTATCACCTTTCGCTCTCGTTAACCTTCATCTTAAAATAAGAAGTCTAAATGAATGCGCTTGATACGAGTGTAGGGTACAAACCATAGAGAGGAAGGGAACTATTACACACGCCTTTTCGTTACACGCCTCGCTTTTGTTTTGCCAACGCTTCCAACCTTATCAATTGAGGGTAAGAGAAGGGGGCAAAGCTCCCCCGCTATTATGCAGGAGATTAGCAAGGGGTACACATACCACTGGTTCTTGTGGTGGACGCAGGGACAGAAGGAATTTCACCCTAGAATCGATTTTCGATAGCGATCATGGATGTACCTCCAAGAACTCGGCGCAATTCAAACCATACAAAAAACGGCGTTGGGGAGGGAATCACGCATTGCATACATACTGCAGATAGACTACCAGTCGAGCAGGACTTAAAACATGTGCTCTATCACCAGATACTCTTCTCCAACTCTGTCAATCTCACCAGTTAGGATTCACCACCTCATTCATTACAGACTACATCAACACGGATCATTGATGGATTAGCTTTTCTATTGGCTAACAAGTTTTGTGTCGTAAGCGGATGAAAACTTGTAGGATTACACCCAACACTCATGCGTAGTGTGACTTACGCCACACCACTGACAGTCTCTATTTAGCGCGTGTTAACGAGGTGTGCTTGAGGAACTACTCCAGAAACGCACATTCTTTTATGAATGATATCTCCTTTAAAATACTCTTATTTCATTTCGTCGAAGTATTTTCTGCTCCTTTCTCCTCCTTGGATGAGTATTAGGATCTATACCACCAAACACAAGGAAATGCCACTGTAGGGTAAGATGACACTTTTTTTGTTTATGAAATGCGTCTATTCGACACTACTTTTGTTCGTTTGTGAGATGTTCAAGCTGTTATGATATTTGGACATATTTGCAGTCAAATTGTAATTGTGTTGGATATCCTGGCTAAAGTATTTGCTTTGCCTGACATCGCATTACTACCTCAGTCACTCCGCTAAACCGACACCATTATACCGACACCATATACCGACCGACTCCTGTCCATTCTGGGTAATGATATGTTTTGTTCGGTCTGTTTTCGGTCTCGTTTCGGTCTCATTAGTGGGATTGAGGTATAAGCCCAGAGAGCACAATATAAAATTAGAAAAAATATTTGTATAGCAGATTTTATTTCCCTCAACCAAAATCGTATGTCATTACACACTTCACGAGCGTTGAGGAAGGTAAACAAGATGAAAAATAAACGAATTTCTTTTCATAATGACTTTCGTGTACTTTCGATTATTCCTTTCTCTTTTTTTCATCAAAGAATTGAAACAGTGAAGAATTATATTCACCTCAATTAATCGAGGATACTTCATTTAATAGATTATTAAAATCTTATAGATTTTTAGTCTCTGTCCATATTACATACATATAATACCTAATCTGATTATGTATTCCAAAAAACATATTCTTCATTTGGACTGTTGTTACAAAATATATTAAACTTTCTACCATTTTCATAAATCTCTAAATTATGTAGTGTATTAGAATACAAGTACGAAAGTCCAGAAATTAGTTTCACGTTAACAATGTATAAGCTATTAAAAAAAACAAGTGTGAGATATATTTCAAATAAATATTTTCAGAAATATCTGTCGGAAATATTGCCTACATTCCAAACGAAGTATTGTTTTAGAGGATTTGAAGACATGTGACAAACTTTTTCAACGATACTTTTCGCTGACTGCCTGATAAAGATGTAAGTCTTGTATTCCAGAAAAGCGTATTCTGACGTTTGATGGCAATTGCAAACTATAGTTGATGAGTTAAGAAGATAATCATAGGGTTGATTCAAATCCAATGTATTTATTCCTAATGACATCGATTCCTCACACTAATTGACCTTGGTGGCAGAAGGGAGACAGACTCGGATCCATACACAAACCTTGCTGGCTTTGTGCCACCAGGACATGTCAACATTTGATTGTAAAACAACAAAGGATGGAATCATATACACCGCTATATATCTTTCAAAAGGTGTAAAGATTCCTCAAAGCACAGTGGACCAGTTTGCGGTTGTCATCCTTTGGTCAAATCATACCCTGATTATGACACTATTGGATTATGAATTCTCTCCATTTAATTCTCTTTAATGTTTAGCTTTCAACCCCAAACAATTATTGAATAAGGATGCCTGCTTCTGTGTCTTTAACCTTCTCATCGGATAAATGATGCGTGTATCTCTGTCAAAGGTGGATCTTTTTTTCCGGGTAAATGCGAGGCTAGAGGCTAGCCATCGATACAGTTCCGGTAGTGCTGTTACCAAAAGAAACCATTCTTTATGTCGTACAAGGTGGCTTTACTGAATATGATGAGAGAGATGTTGGGAAGCATTCAATCGATACTCATCCAGTGGCCATCCAAGCCTATCTCATTCCTTTTGCTCTCATCCAAACAGGATTAAGATGTTCATATCACTTGGACCTTGCTAATGCCGGCTTATACTTGGGGCAAATTACGAAAACAAGTTTTCCGTGAAAAGAGTCTGAAATTTACAGAATGGAGGAAGGGTACAAACCGCAGCAGATCTTGGAAATGGGCTCATTTCTGAGATAGACATTGTTTTCTTCTGTTTTCTTTTCTTTGTGGGGGGCGCCTGAAACCGGAGCTCATTCACGGATGATTTGATGAGTAAAGATGCTATGAAGAACTAATGTACATCTACTTCCTATCTAATCGATATATGCAGTTCCACCCATTTAAAGGCAGCTCATCGCAGCTTGTCTAAATAAGATTTGTCCAAACACAACCAAAAACAATCAGACATAATTCCAAACCAAGAAAGAAAACTTATCATATTATTGTCTGTCGGATATCGTGATGGATTGCATCATTGTGGGTAATATGTGGTATATGTTCTTCTAAATCTTTGTAAAGATGCAACTCGAACGCTTTACATGAGGAAAACACAGGCTTCTCACGCGCTGGATTATTCATTGTTTCGTTTCCCCTTTTTTTTCTTCTGACACGATGTTTTTATTTGAAAATTTAACATGTTAAGTCCCTTACACATTAAAGGCGAGTTCTTGGGTTCTTTCGCTGCAGCGCCCTCAAGTGAATCGCATCTCGAAGACGTGATCATATCGGCGGCTTCCCGGTGATGGGGCCCATTTTTTGCTTGTTCTTGAGAATGTATGTGTTCAGTTGACCTTGAGAGTAATGGATAAAGCTAGTAGTTGTTTTACACAAGATATAAGATTGATAGTGTTGAACTTTTGAAATGCTTTGAATTTGTTTTTTTTATCAGGTTTAACTTTAGTTTTTTAGGATACTGTTCAGGCGATTTGTATCATTCCATCGATATATTTTCGGTAACTGATATTGACATTCTTCTGGTTACATTGCGTTGTGTATAAAACAGGCAAGAGAGATGAGCTGAGCTGAATAAATAGTTCGTTTTGAATGTAGATATGGGACATGTCCCCTTGTCAACATTGTTAGTTCCATACGGTGATCGTTTCCAGAAGAGAAGCACAAACCATTTTGTCGTTGAGTATAACGGTTGGCTTTAAAAACTCGTCACATAAACACGTTGATAGTGGATAATAATGCATGACGTCTTATCCTTCTGTATGAAATTCTGACGTTCATATGAATGTCAGTTTTATCTTATCGGTCAGATAGGCGCGAACAGACATTACAAGACGTTGGAAGGTGTGTGAATTAGATTCCATTCACTATCGTCTGTCTACAGAAGGTCATAGTGGTGTGTGATGTCGTCACAATGCGTCGAGTGTTCGTGCAGCATGTGAATCAGGACATCGTTTTCATGAATATATACAGAAGAAATATCAATGTAAACGATTCTAAAAAGTTCCACAATATGTTAATGCATACGATCATAGTACACGTAGCCCAGTTTATCATTTGTTAATCATGTGTACCTAGATGTTTTTTTGGTAAACCTCTTCATAAGCTCATTTAATCCTGTAGTATTGATATTTTGCTCCCCAAAGGTCCTCGAGCATTGCTTGAGAAGAAACGTATAACAGTTTCATCATAGGTTTCACAGTGATGTTTTACTCCTATATTTTCGGAAGTTTCGCTTTATTTGGCCTAGCGTTTCTGATAAAGAAGTGATTGTTAATATCTTACAATCTACAAAGATAAGTTATATCCTTAGAAATGTAATAGATATTTGTTTCTTCTTTTACATTAATTCAATCGTTAAGTGATCGTAGGTGTGTTTTGACTCTTGAGAAATCAACGACATTCCTATTACGTAAGACGAGGTAAGATTGATATATGTCTTTCAAATTTAATGTATATTATATAAAAGATGTATTGCATAAAAACAGGGAAGTCATGCCTCTGATAATGATTGCGTTGGTTTGAAAAATGGAAGGTTTTAATTCGCGATTCCACTTCCCTTTCCGAATGCTTCACGGTTTTCCTTTTCCCTGGTGGCACATGCTAATCAGAATTCATCCTTGGTTAACCACAAATGAATCAATATCCAGATTTCAACAGTTTTAATATTTACGATGGTTCAATGAAATTTTTGGATAAGTATTAATGACATTAATTCTTTTCACTTCCATCACGAAGAGCAGAAACCCTTGAATCCGTAGGAAATTATGACTAAAAGTCTTTATGAGACAAAACTAGCTCAAGTTTGTAAAAGTATTTAGCATCGAATTCTACATATTTCCTTGTAGGAAGTTGAAACACAAATGTATCCTGGGTCTATCGTAAGAAGTTTTTAGGAGAAGTTTCACGTGACGTTACTTCTGTCATGTATTAATCGTATGTCGTTATTGTAAACTACACTAACAAATCTTGAAAGCTTCCAGATAAGTGGATCGGACGGTGTGTCATTACAGTGTGATGTTGGTGCTCCTAGCTAGGATGGTTGTGCTTCTAGCTAAGATTGCGAAGAGGACGTAGACGACAGCGATGACGTCTTCGGGTACTTGGACCACATGGTTTGACGATGGCATTGCGGCTCTTTTGAGGCCCCTGTCATCATTGTCTAGTTGTTAATCAGACCTGACAGCATTGGGATCTTAGAGTAATGAGTATCACCTCATAGGGGACGATCCTCTGGGAGATAGACAGTAGATCGTGAGGAAGTTCATGCTGGGGGTCACTATACTTCTCCCACATCAAGGATGGATGGAGTGGATGTTAGGGGGCTAAATGTCTTGCCAGCATTACTCTGACACATATCCTTTCGATAACACCAAGTTTGTATGGTCCGAATGACATCATCCCCTCCACACTCGAGCTGTAGGTGCATGAGCAGACATCCCTGCGAGCTTGCCCATACGATTTTCAAAATATATCACTAATAAGCTCACCCTTGTTTGAAATACGAAAGAAAATGCGCCCTGGATACTTTGCTTTCATGCAGCCTAACGGTAAATTCGGAAATAGTTGAATAGATGGATAGTACAAGATTAAATCAATACTCGGAAGGAAAAGAAGTCGACCTTTACTAACGGACTCCAAATTTATGCATATATGTTTTGTATCGCTGTTGGAATAATACTGTTATCACAATAGTACAAAATGGGTTTACAAATTCCATTAGTTTTTGCAATCGAATTTGTTTTATTGCAATGACCCCGGACTCGCTGTGGTTTTGATGTCTTTACCATAACTGATAGAAAGTTTTTTTACTAGCTAAAATAGGCTGCCTTTCCTGTCACTCATCCCCCAAAACGTCCTTTTTTACCAAGTTCATTGTCAGCCATTAATGCAACTGGCAGAGAGACTTCGTTTACAGAGGGTCGTAAAATATATAACGATACTACAACTACCATAGCT